TGTGCCATTAATGAACCTAGTGGAAATCTTGGGTTTCCCCTCCTAACACCATCTGTTCAATATCAGGGACTTATCCAGGGGAGGACTGGCAGCTTGACCTCATGCAAATGACCAAATGCTCAAATGTTCAAGGTATAAATATCTATTGGTTCTTATTGATAGCTTCAGTGGATGGGCAGAAGCTTTTCCAAACTGTACTGAGAAAGCCAGAGATGTGGCTTGTTGTTTCTATGTCCTTTTCATTTTTATTCCTTTCCTTTCCAATTTTTTTTTCTTTTTTGGGTCACACCCAGCTATGCTCAGGAGTTACTCCTGGCTCATATACTCAGGAATTACTCCTGGCAGTGCTTGGGGGAACCATATGGGATGCCGGGGATCGAACCCAGGTCAGTCGCGTGCAAGGCAAACGCCCCACCCGCTGTACTATCGCTCCGGTCCTCTCTTTCCTTTCCACTTTATAATAATAGGAATGGGTATACTGTTACTTTAACTCCTATTTTTTCTCTTTTTTCTTTTTTAATTTTTTTTCTTTTTGGGTCACACCCGGCAATGCACAGGGGTTACTCCTGACTCTGCACTCAGGAGTTACTCCTGGCGGTGCTCAGGGGACCATATAGGATGCTGAGAATCAAACCTGGGTCGCCCGCGTGCAAGGCAAACACCCTCCCCACTGTGCTATCTCTCCAGCCCCTGTTTTTTTATTTTTATTAGTGAAACACCATGAGGTACAGTTGTAGACTTACAAATTTTTATGCTAACTCCTATGTTTTCTAAGACAGCAAACGGTTGTGTCCTTGCTGGATCAGAAAAGACCTTTTCCTCCAGGGTCTAACCATTATCAAAGTGATCTTCTCTTTCAGATATCTTCAGGACCTAACCAATTCATTGCCTGGGACCCATTAAAACTAAGGTAGCTTGGGGCTGGAGCAATAGCACAGCGGGTAGGGTATTTGCCTTGCACGCGGCAGACCCAGGTTCGATTCCCAGCATCCCATGTGGTCCCCTGAACACTGCCAGGAGTGACTCCTGAGTGCATGAACCAGGAGGAACCCTGTGCATCGCCAGGTGTGACCCCAAAAGCAAAATAAATAAATAAATAAATAAATAAATACTAAAGTAGCTTGAGATTTCACGCCTTCTGCAGACAGGATCAGTGTCCCTGTGTCACCAGGAAGCAGTTCCAGAAGACAGAACTTCGGCCATTTTCCCTTGAAGATTCAAGGTGGTGAAAGCTCTGGGGGGGAGGGGGGATATGATGTTGTAGGCAGGTAGACAGGAAAAGGCCCTAAGTAATGAATCTAGGTCAACAAGTTTCCTGGGAAGGAAAGCTCTAAGATTGATCCACCTGTGGATACAGATAAGATTTTGAAGAGACCCTGAAGAGATTGGAACCCTCCCCATGAAAGGAAGTTCCTCAAATACCCTAGCATTTGGGGAATGTAGGTACATAGATTAAGGAAGCTCCCCGAAAATTCCAATTGCCTGTTGTGAGTGCGAACCTGCTTTATGGAGGAACTCTGCTCCCTTTCAAATTCTTTTGGTTGACTGCCACTACTCCAACAACTCAGCCTTGAGAAAGAAAGTGTAGGCTAGAGTTTATGATCTCTCTCTCCTCCAGTCCTTACTGGCCCTACAGGTATCAAGGTCCAGCTCCATGCGGGGCTTGGAGCACATTACCAGAGTGATCTCCTCATCCATACACATCGGGAGATCTGGCCTGAATTAGGCGACGTGAGACCGCCACCTGCGAGGTCCTTACACCACGATCCTGACCAGACCAACTGCTCTGAAGGTGGATAGTTGGGTCTATGCTTCACATGTAAAAGCTGCCTCCCCTTTGGAGACAGAATAACACCGACCAGTGGCATGTCCAGACAACGGGAGACGACCCTACTCAAGATCACGATCACAATCATGATCATCCTGTTGTTCATTGATTTCCTCAAGCAGGCACCAGTAACGTCTTCTTCTTCCTAGCCCTAAATTTTACAAGAGCCATTTCAATGCTCTTTCAGGATTAGGAGAATGAGACCCATCATTGTTACTGGTATTTGGCATATTGAGTACGACACGGGAAGTTTGCCAGACTCTGCCGTGTGGGCAGGATACTTTTGGTAGCCTGCCAGGTTCTCTAAAGGAAAAATAAGATAATAAGATGTCATGCGGCCGCAAATGCTGCCGCGTGCTTCCAGGAGCTGGATTTTATAGTCTCTGCGTCTTGGCCGTTGATGGGACCAACCTGGTGCTGGCTGCAGCTGGTGGGTGTGACGCCTACATACTGGAAGATGGGGGATCTGGGTGGAGAAGGCCCAGTCCCAATCCAAGTAGGCTTGGAGACCTCAGCCCCGGGACCCGCATGCCTGGGTTCCTCTGCCAGTTCTTTCATGCATGGGGCCCATCCGAACATTTGGAGAGTGGTCCCAGCATGGCCGTGACTGGCTCCGGAGAGTCTCCTGCCCCCGCACCTGGCTGTCCTCACCGAGGGGCCCCTTGGAGGGGGACGGTTGAGTTTCTCCCCCCCCAACCCCAGCAGAGCCTTCTCAAGATAAGACTGAAGAAAGTGGCTGAAAGGAACTATGGGAAGGGCACGGGTTATTCTCTGTTTCTGTATGCTCGTAGTGACAGCTGCAGAGCGAGCTCTTTACATGGCCCAGTTTTGTCACTGGGTACCCTCTGATTCTGAAACAAGAAATAGAATTAGCCTTGATCTGTGCCAGTTATGCCCCACGCTGGGACGTGTGTTTGTTCAGGGACCTACTGATCCTATTGTCTTGCATGTAATCCCTTGTTTGTCCCCTTCCTACTTCGCCAACTCCAGTGCCCCTGAATTGTGTTTAATGGTAAAGATTGTGCTACAGGAATACTGTTATAGAAAGAGAGCTGGGAAAGTCAACTTGTCACCCTGATTCCATCCCACCCAGAGGCCCCTAGTACTTCTATTTTTGCTTCTGACCATGGACTTCTGCATCCTGAATCTTTTTTTTTTTTTTGCTTTTTGGGTCACACCTGGCGATGCACAGGGGTTACTCCTGGCTCTGCACTCAGGAGTCACCCCTGGCGGTGCTCAGGGGACCATATGGGATGCTGGGAATCGAACCTGGGTCGGCCGTATGCAAGGCAAACGCCCTACCCGCTGTGCTATCACTCCAGCCCCTAAATCTTTTGTTTCATTTCATTTTCATTTCATCATCCTGTTATTCGTCGATTGCCTCGAGCAGGCCCCAGTAACGTCTCTTTCATCCTAGCCCTGAGATTATATTCAAGGCTCTTTAGGAGAATGAGACCCATCATTGTTACTGGTATTTGGCATATTGGGTACGCCACGGGGAGTTTGCCAGACTCTGCCCTGTGGGCAGGCTACATTCGATAGCCTGCAAGTTTGTCCAAAGTAGGAATGAGATAATAAGATGTCATAAAAAGATGTCCTGATAAGAAGTCTTCTGCCCCCGCGCCTGGCTGTTCCTCGCCGAGGCCCTTGGAGGGGAGCGGGTTGAGCTTTCCTCCCCGCCCCGACCAGGGCTCCGGCAGCCGAAGACCTCCAGGACCAGCCACCACCATGCTGAGACCACTCTCCGCACACATGAAATCTTTTGTTAAAGGTAGGAAAAACACGGTACAGTTGATGGTTCTCAAGCAGGAGTATACCAGAAACTCCCAAACCTGGGAGCCGACACTTGAGGGTTCAGAATGAGGAAGATTCCTCATTATGAATAAGTAAAGGGGGGAATGTTAGGACCCACTTAGCCGGAGAGCTGCCATGACAGGCTCTGAGTGACTTAGGTCTCTTCCAGGAACAAGAAAAGCAGAAAAACCAGATGCTTTTGTCAAAGATTACATCTCCGGAATAAGATTAGGTCTCCAGAATGTAACTGTCAGGGCGGTGGGCTGGATGTTGTGGTCCAAAACAACAACCACAACAAAATATACAGTGTAGCACTGTAGCACTGTCCTCCCATTGTTCATCGATTTGCTCAAGTGGGCACCAGTAATGTCTCCATTGTGAGACTTGTTGTTACTGTGTTTGGCATATCGAGTGCGTCATGGGTAGTTTGCCAGGCGTTGTCGTGCGGGCGAGATACTCTCGGTAGCTTGCTGGGCTAGGTAATAGAAAATTGCTGAGTAACACTGACTTGCCAAAATGAAAGTATAAGAACTTGCTGAACCTAGTGCTCGGGGTCCTTGTTGAAACCCGCTTCTTCGGGTGGATACTTGGACCCTGGCTAGCTGGAAGCAATAAACTTCGCTATGTGATTTGCATTTTTTTAATTATTTTTTAATTTTTATTTATTTATTTTTATTAGTGAAACACCATGAGATAACAGTTGTAGACTTACAGATTTTTGTGCTTGGGTTTCAATTATACAATGATCAAGCACCCATCCTTCCACCAGTGCCCATTTTCCACCACCACGGATCCCAGCATCCCTCCACCCCCCCGTCCATTCCCCCATCCCACCCTGCCTCTGTGGCAGGGCATTCCCTTTTGTTCTCTCTCTCTCCTTTCGGCTGTTGTGGTTTGCAAAAGAAGCATTTAGTGGCAATCACGTTCGGTCCAGAGTCTACTTTCAGCATGCTTCTCCCACCCTGGGAGGATCCTCCCAACACCCTTTACTTGGTGCTCCCTTCTCTATCGGAGCTGCCTTTTCTCCCCTAGCGTGTGTGGCTGGCCTCCAAGCCATGGGGCAAAATTCCTGGTACTAATTGGCTCTGTTCTCTGTCCTTGAGGCGTGGCCGACTCCGCACCCTAACACTGTATTGTGTGAAGACCAAGGAAACCCCCCCCTCCCCCCGTACTTTCTCTCTGGCCCCAGATTTCACTGCACGCTGGCTTGTGGACCACAGTGGCCCCGAGCAGAGTCTATCCCCGCCCGGAAACTACATTTCCCAGCAGCCCTCGCGTCAGCGCTGACGCACTTCCGGCCGGCGTTCCCCGCGGCAGGAGGGAACCCAGCTCGCTGCAGGCCGTCGCGATCTGTTCTCGCCCGCTCCTGCAACTGCAGCCGTCCCTGCTGTCACCATCGGCCACCATGTCCGCCCAGGTGCAGATGGGGACCCTGCGGGAACAGCTCGTGGGCACGGCCCGAGACGGTAAGTCGAGGCAGCCGGCCAGCGTGGGCTGGGGCGGGTGCAGCGGAGGCCTAAGGCGGGGCCCTTGCTTGTCTCTTTTTATTTATTTATTTGTTTATTTATTTATTTATTTTTGTGGGTCACACCCAGCGATGCACAGGGCTTACTCCTGGCTCATGCACTCAGAAATTACTCCTGGCGGTGCTCAGGGAACCGTATGGGATGCTGGGACTCGAACCCGGGTCGGCCGCGGGCAAGGCAAACGCCCTACTTGCTGAGCTCTCGCTCCAGCCCCTAGTCTCTCTTTTTTTTTTAAAAAAATAACGTACTGCGGTTTGTTCAGGCATTAGCTGATGGAATTGGGCATGAACTCCACTGTTACTTTGTTGTATCAACATGAGATACAGTTACAAAGCTTTCCTGCTTTGTAACTGTACAAAGCCCTACGATGATGGAACACCCAGATGATGGAACACCCATCCCTCCACCAGTGCGCTTTTTCCACCACTGATGTCCCAAGTATCCCTCCCCTGGCCCCCCAATCTGAGTCCTGACCCTGCCTCGATGGCACACAATTTCTTCAATACTCCCTCTCTCTCATTTTGGGCGCTGTGTTTTGCTCAAATTTTCGCTGGCAGATGCTCGATCATTTATTTTCCATTGCCCATTTTGAATTATCAGGAGAGCTCGTGGCAGCCACAATTGTAAAGTGTAAATTTGTAGGTTGTAAATGGTCGGGTTGCCCAGACATCTCTGTGTAAATGGCACTAATCCGTTTGGGGATTCCATTGAGAGTCTTGGAGCCAGGGCTGTTGGTGCGCTAAGATGTCACCCGAGGCAAATTGTGGGCATGACAGGCAGTCTGTGGGCGGGCAGGGTCCTTTGCTGCCATGTACCCTGGAGATTTAGTCCTAGAACCTGCATACGGAGGGCCTTGCTTATAAAAACTCTTTTTTTTTTTCTTTTTGGGTCACACCTGTCGATGCACAGGGGTTACTCCTGGCGGTGCTCAGGGGACCATATGGGATGCTGAGAATCGAACCCGGGTCGCCCATGTGCAAGGCAAACGTCCTATCTGCTGTGCTATCTCTCCAGTCCCAGTTTTCTTTTTTTCTTAGAAGACCAAATGAAAGATATTCTATGTTCATGGGGTTGGGAGAATAAACCTAAATCTTTGTTCAGTGGCCTCTGGGAGGATGGCAGCCAGCAAGCCGTCAAGGGGGAGCAGGCAGAGGGACAGCACCCTTTTCTCCCGGGGGTGGCCTGGCGACAGTAACCTACTGCGGGGTCTGGATGCATTTCTGCCAAAAGCCGCTGGGTTTTGAAATTTGTTTTTGAGTCTCTTGGATCATGGCCATTAAGCAGCTTGATCAGGAGCCAGAGAGGCTATTCGTGGGCGGTGACTCAGGGTCTCATAGGGATGGGGAGGAAAGGGCCGGCTCCACCCCCATCCCGTGAGGCCCCACGTGTCTCATCACTGCAGGCCCAAACCTGACTGTCCAGTGGCCTCTGGAGGATGATGGCTACCCGGTCGCCAGGGGGAACAGGCCAAGGCACGAAACCTATTCCCATCTGGGGTGGCCCAGAGCCAGTAACCTACCGCAGGGACTGGATGCATTTCTACCAAAAGCCATTGAGTTTCAAGATTTGTTTCTGAGTCTCTGGGATCACGTCCATTAGGCAGTCTGATCAGGAACCAGAGAGGCCATGCCTCCAATTATATAGCTGTGCCGAGGTGGTTTGTGGGTGTGACTCCCACATACCTAACTTGTGGCCATTTACTTTCTTTGGAAACTTTGCTCCAAGTTTTTGGGGTCTGGCCAAAGGCACAGCAGCAATTTGGGGGGTATCTGGAAGTCTGAAGGCGCCATCAGGCTGCTGATGCACTCGCCTCACAGGTACAGATTGACCTGCTGGCGGCACCATACCCCCCATTAACTGCAGTTTTCAGTCTCATAGGCCCCTTTTAAGCAAATGAATGGTGACCCCAAAACCAAAAGGCAGAGTTTCCAGCCTCTGTTCTCTGAATTTCTCCAAAGAACTTGCAGCCTGTCCACCCCATTTCATGTAGCCTTCGGAACTATAATAAACCTCTTTCAGTATTTCCTGGATGTTGGCTAACTCCAGTGAGTTGCAGTGAAATGAGGGCCACATTGAGTTACACATAGGTTTGTAGGGAGGGAGTCCCTGGGAAAACCTGACCCAGATTTGCCTATTAGGGTGGGTTGGCCTGACCACAGTCATTGAGTGCCGGGGTTTCTTGTTTTTGTGTGTGTGTGGGAGGGGGGGGGGGGGGGTTTGCACACCTGCTGTTTTCAGGACTGACTCCTGGCCCTGTGCTCATCGATCACTCCTGGTGGGATCTGCAGCCCTATAGGATGATGGGCATTAAATTGGGGTCAGCCACATACAGACTGGGCAGGTTACCTAACCACTATCGTCCCTGCTCCCTGGGGTTTCTGAAAACAACGTTTTCAGGGTGGGGGTGGGGGACCCACACCTGGTGATGCTCAGGGGTCACTCCTGACAGTGGTCAGGCAACCCTATGGGTACCTGGGGTCTAACTCCGGAATGACCGCCTGCAAGGCGAGTCCTCGTCCTGCTCTGGCCTTGCTCTCCGCGTCACCTCTTTCCCGATTGGCATTGTGCCTGGTGAGAGGCGACTCTGGGTCTGTTAAAAGGCCCCATCTCACATCTTAGTCCCGGTGCTGCTGTTTCCGGTGCTTGTCAGGAGTCCAGACTCTCTGCTGGGTCTGGGTTGCTGGAGGTCAGACCTTCCAGCACTTTCTAATCTGCAGCCGTTTCGTAAAAGCCACAAGCACTCTTAGTTGGATAAACTTTTTGTTTTGTTGTAGGTTATTTCCACCCAGCAGAGCTCAGGCACTATGCCTGGACTTGCTCTGGGGACCTGAGCGGGTGCTGGGGATTAAACAAAATCAGTTTTATGCGAGGCCCTATCAGCTGCACTTCTCCTGGACACCACAGAAGAATTCCTGTGTACCGAGTTCGTTTATGGTACAGAGCAGTGTACCATCGTATATTCTGCAAGCAACCCTCTGCTCCCAGTTATTTAAAATTCAGGGCTAGAGCCATAGTGAATGGTGGTGGTATGGGGGGTGGGGGGTGCTTGCCCTGCACACAGTGGCCCTGGGTTCGATGCGTGGAATCCCTTATAGTCCCTTGGTCCCCTCCAAGAGTGACTCTTGAGAGCAGAGCTAGGAATAAGCCCTGAACACTGCCCAGTGTGACCCCCTCTTCCCCAGAGAATGTATGAGGGAGCTGTGATTCTTCACGTTCTGATTCGCGCCTGGAGACCAGCAGCTGGAGGGATTTTCTCCCTATTGGGCTGGGCTTCTAGATTCTTCCAGGCACCGCCGATTAAGTGAGCAGGGATTCTTTGATTTTCTTTTTTTTTTTTTTTTTTTTTTTTGAGTCACACCTGGTTCTGCGCTCAGGGATCGGATCACTCCTGGCGTCGATCTCATGGGGAGGGTGCCGGGGGTCGAACCCAGGTCAGCCGTGTGCCTTGCTCTGGGATCTCATCTGAGAGCCTGTTTGGGTGTGTTCCTGGGCCTTATAGGATGTAAGCCAATGAGAGTGGAAGGGTGGAGCGCCCGGTCCTCTAGGATGCATCTGATTGGCCCTTTTCATCCCACCCGCCCTCACCGTCATCCAATCAGAGGTAGAGGATGGGTGGCTGGGGGCGGGGAGATAACCGCGGGTGGAAGGAGGCCCCGCCCCGAACCTGCTCTGGGCTCCCTAAGCTCTGCCCAGCGTGGCTGCTGGACCCAGGGGGCCGTCAGCTCCTGGGCAGAGGCGCTAAGCCAGACAGATTCCAGGTCAGGAAGCACTGCAGGGAGCGCGAAGACCAGGAATTAGACCAGGCGGCCAGGAAGAAGTCATCGGGACCAGGTGACGGTGGAGGCTTGGGGAGTTGGGGAAGGAGGAGGGCGAGGGATGTGTGACGTCATACCCGAAGCATCTGGACCTAACAACTGAAGTGTTTAATGAACTTTTATTTTTATTATCTTGGTCACAGCAGGCGATGCTCAGAGCTTGTCCCTGGCTCTGGAGTCCGGGATCACTCCTGGCAAAGCAGTGGGGACCCACTGGGGTGCTGGGGATTGAACCCGGGTGATTTGTCAGCATACAAGCACCTTCACCCACTTAAGGGGGGCTGGAGCAATAGCACAGCGGGTAGGGCGTTTGCCTTGCACGTGGCCAACCCGGGTTCGATTCCCAGCATCCCATAGGGTCCCCTGAGCACCGAGCCAGGAGTAACCCCTGTGCATTGCCGGGTGTGACCCAAACAGGCAAAAAAACAAAAACCCACTTAAGGACCCCTAAAAGTGAACAACTATTGTTTTGCTTTTGGCCACAGCGGTAATGCTCAGGGGTTACTCCTGGCTCTGCACTCAGGAATTACTCCTGGTAATTATAGGTCACCTGAGCACCTTAGAGTATGTGGGAATGGATCGGTAGCCACACCCTCCTCGCTGTTTAAGCATCTGAACTTTGTCTGCAGATCAGTTCTGAAGAACTCTCGGGAGTGAATCTGCCGTGGTACTATCGTGCTTGTTATTTTTCTTGCAGTGAGTCTGGAAGCTTCTCCAAATAGCTTCTTCATATCCCCAGATCCGCTGCGCCCTGACTCTGACCTGCTCAGAAAGATGGTGAGTTGGGGCTCATTTATTAATAATATTCTAATAATTGTGTGTTGTTGGCTTCACGCAGCGCTGCTCAGGGCTGATCCTAGGCTCTGTGATCAGGGATCACCCCTGGCTGTGCCGGGGGCCCATATGGGATGGTGACAATGGAACTTGGTTGGTGACGTGTAAGGCAAGTGCCTCCCCACTGTCCTATCTGCCCTTCCCCTCATTTGCAAGCTTCTGTACTACGGTTAGTGGCTGAGATTTCTATGCCAGTCAGCCTGTGGGTGGGTTTTGTGGAAGGTCTGTGGTGCCCTTCCACGTCATTGGTTCCAGATTCTGATGCCGAGCTCTGATGGCAGCCAGATGAGGAGAAGGGAGGCAGAGAGGACTTGCCTGAGGAGAATGGGTGGAGTCAGTGCTCAGGGTTAAGTCCAGATGTTTTGCTGGGAAATTGTTCCCTGCCCTGCCTTTGGGGGTTCTTATGGGGGCTTTCATGATGCAGACAGGAAGGATGAATCATTGGCACTTTGTGGTTTATGTTAGGGCGCGGATCAAGATCTCCCTCTAACGACAAAGAGACTCCAGAGACTGCAAACAGCAAGCAGAGCTTATTGTAAGACTGGCTAGCCAGGGTCCCACCGCCCACACAGACATGCAGGTCCAGCAGGTTGGGCAAGACCTTGAGCTTCTCCAAAGGAGATCTTAGATAGGCCTTCACCGACCGTTACAGCAGAGCCCGCGCATTTCATAGCCAATAGATTTGTAATAACAAATACTTTCCTAACCAATCCGATTAAGGGTACATCACTTCTTAGCCTATAGTTTAAGTAAAGTAAAAAGTAAAGGCTCTCCCGTTGTTCATTGATTTGCTCGAGCGGGCCCAGTAACGTCTCCATTGGAGATTTTGTTGTTATTGTCTTTGGCATATCGAATACATCAAGGGTGGCTTGCCAGGCTCTGCCGTGCGGGCGAGATACTCTCGGTAGCTTGCCAGGCTTTCCGAGAGGGGCGGAGGAATCGAACTCAGGTCGGTGCCTATAGTTTAAAGATCAGCATTTGCGTCAGTGCTTAGGAACGTCCTGGTTTTTAGGGCAGTCCTGGGTCTTGCAACATGGGTCTTGTGAGAGACATCCATTTATCTGGTCTGATCCCCACCCTTCGAGTACCTGTCTCTGAATTCCTTGCTCAGGGGCAAGAAAACCAGTTATTTTGGGGGCTGGAGCAATAGCACAGCGGGTAGGGCATTTGCCTTGCATGCGGCCAACCCGGGTTCAATTCCCAGCATCCCATATGGTCCCCTGAGCACCGCCAGGGATAATTCCTGAGCGCAGAGCCAGGAGGAACCCCTGTGCATTGCCAGGTGTGACCCAAAAAGAAAAAAAAAAAAAACAGTTATTTTGTAATGCAGGTTCCTATTAAGCTAAGCCAAATTAATTCTGGTGGTGGTCCATTTTGGGTCTGTCCCTCACAGTTTATTTGTATCTGTTTTGGGGGCCACATCCAGCAGTTTTGAGGGCTTGATGTCCGTGGGCTCCACACCTGGCTCATGTGAACAGGGAGGAGAAAGACAAGTCACTTTCTCCCCATCCACCTCCGCCACCCGAGACCCAGAGTTATGGGGTTCTTGTCTCCTCTCGCAGAAAAGAATTTCAGGAGTTGACGGGCAGTGAAATTACACAGTTTCTATTTGTGGTTTTGAAGGGGGAGTAGGGAGAGAGAGTGTGAGGGCGGGCAGAGTAATGCACTCAAGAGAGAATCCGGGGCTGGAGTGATAGCACAGCGGGTAGGGCGTTTGCCTTGCACGCAGCCAACATGGCCAGCACAGGTTCGATTCCCAGCATCCCATAGGGTCCCCCGAGCACCGCCAGGAGCAATTCCTGAGTGCATGAGCCAGGATTAACCCCTGAGCATCGCCGGGTGTGACCCAAAAAGCAAAAAAAAAAAAAAAAAGAGAGAGAGAGACTCCAAGGGCCGAGAGAGCCCCTACACACATCCCAGAGTTAGTCAGAAAAGTCTGAACGTCCACATCTCAAGAGGGGAGTCGGGCGGGCGACACCTGTGCTCGGGCACTGCATTTGCTTGGCCACGTGGGTGCAGGCAGCAGCATGGGCACCTCCTTTGTTCAAGGTGGCCATTATGGGGTTTCTACCACCTGCCCCCATACAGGGCTTCTACCTAGGTAAAAGTCCGTCGCTAAGGAGGTTGCCTAGGCAGGTTGGGAGTGGTGGTGGTCTTCTTTGAAATTCCTCTCCCGGCCTTTTGTTTCCGCAGGAGCTCCTCTGGGGTCTGTTGCTGTAGATAGGTGAGGGTCTTGTAAGGCCTTACTTCTGTGTTTTTTTTTTTTTTGCAAGGTTGGCCTTTGCAACTTCAGAGCTATTACTCCCCAGGAAATTTACTGTCATCGCCAGGGGGGTAGACTTCCTGCCTGTCCCCCCCCCCACCCCACATCAGAATGACTCCTGATTGGGGGCCTGCCAGCGTCTTTGCCTTGCATGCCGCCCACCCGACCCGGATTCCATCCTCGGCATCCCGCCAGCACCGGCAGGAGTCATTCCTGAGTGCAGAACCGGGAGTGACCCTGAACATCGCTGGGTGTGACCCCCCCCCCAAAAAAAAAAAGAATGGCTCTGAGTTCAGGGTTCATGTCTAGTCTAGGGGTCCTCGGGGGACCCTTTGGGATGTCGGGGAGCCAAGGGAAGCAGGCAATGCCAGCGCCCTTGCCACTGTACCATTGCTCCTGCCCCATAGGCAGATCTTCCTGGAGGCCTTCCTTAGGCACCTTGATGCTGCACAGACAGACAGTAGGATCTCTCCCGGGCCTGAGGGAGTCCTGCAGATGGCCTGGTGCAGCTGTCAGAGCAGCAAGTCTCCTGGGATCTGAAGAGTGGCCCAGAAACTTGTTCGTCTTTTTTTTTTTTTAATTCTTATTTATTTATTTGCTTTTTTTTGGCGGGGGGAGGTGACACCCAGCCCATGCTCAGGGGTTACTCCTGGCTCTGCACTCAGGAATCACTCCAGGCGGTGCTCAGGAGACCATATGGGATGCTGGAAATCGAACCCGGGTCGGCCGCGTGCAAGGCAAACGCCCTCCCCGCAGTGCTATTGCTCCAGCCCCCTATTTATTTGCTTTTTGGATCACACCCAGCGATACAACAGGGGTTACTCCTGCTTTTGCACTGTGAAATTACTCCTGGCAGTTCTCCGGGAACCATATGGGAGGGACCATATGGGATACTTACTGGGAATCGAACCCGGGCCGGCCCCATGCAATGCAAGCATCCTGCCCGCTGGGCTGTCTCTCCAGCCCCCGTAAGCTTCTCCTAGGCATCAGCATATCACAGGAACCTTGGTCTTGGTCTTCGCAGTGTGAAGTGGGTTTCCCCACGTGATGCAGTGAGGTCACACACACCAATTTTGGGGGGTGAAGGAGAGAGGCTGGTCTCCAGGCCGCTGACAGTTTCCACATTCTTCGAACCAAGATTTCCTTTGTCACTCCCCGCTTTTGTTTTTGGGGTCACACGCAGAGACGCGCAGGGCTTACTCCTTGCTCTGCGTTCAGGGATCACGCCTAGCTGGGACCTTAAGGGATGCCGGAGTTCAAATCCGAGTCCGCCCCGTACAGTGCAGGTGTTGTCCCTGATGTCCTTTTGCTTCAGCCACGTCCTTCTGTCACTCTTTTCGACAGACCCCCTCAGAGTTGTCCGTACGTGTCTGTGCCGGGTGCTGTCATGGTTCGTGGCTCTCCCAGCACTTGGCACCGAGCTCTGCCTTCTGCACACATCCTGGGTCTTCCCGTGGGGACCCTGAGGGTTTAAAGTAGATTAAAGTAAAACCCAGGACCGTAAAGTTGCCTCCTGAGTCCCCCGTCTCCCCTGGGGATGCAGAGGGTTCTGGGCTGATGGGAAACTGTGTGTGTTTCAGGAGTCGGTATCCTTTGAGGACGTGGCCGTGACCTTCACCCAGGCCGAGTGGGCTTTGCTGGATCCGGCCCAGAGGCGCCTGTACAGAGAAGTGATGCTGGAGGCCTGCAGGCACCTGGCCTTCGTGGGTGAGGCTGAGGCGCGACCCCTCCCCGCAGTTCAGGGCACAGAGCCAGCTGCTCGCGCTTCGGACAGGGCCACGGAACGGGCGGGAAGGAGGGGCCTGTCTCTGGGTACCCTGGCCCAGGCATGGGACTTTCCCGGGCAGGCAGCTGGGTTCACGCCTTAACTGCCTTTTCTCGGATTCAGGGCCACACCGGGATGGAGCGGGGTGTCAGGGCCACTGCCAGCACCTCTGGCTCTTGGTGTGACCTTAACAGTGCTGGCTGGTCCCCCCAGTGTTCGAGGCTCCAGGCCGCCCTTGGCAGTGCTGGGTGAGGGAGGTGGTGCCCAGGATTATATTCTGGGCCACGAGCATGCCAGTCACTGTGTTGCCTTGCAGGTTCTTCATGGGGACACGGGGCTCACACCTGGATGTTTGTGGGGCTGACCCCTGACTCTGTGCTCAGGGCATGCCACGGGGTACGGGGATCTGACCCGCCTGGTTCAAGGCAGCTGCTTCCTCTTCTTTTGAAGTAAACCAGTGGCATCAGGCCTTTTCCAGTTCTTTTTTGTTCCCACAGAGAATCTTTTTTCTCTGGTTAACAGACCTGGCGAGGCTCAGGGCTGATGCCTGACATTGCTTGGAGGAGCCTATTGGGTGCTGGGGAGTAACTAGGGTTAACTGTGTCCCAGGCAAACGCCATCCCCACCATCCTACCGATCTGCCCCTCCCGAGTCTCCCTCTGGGACTGAATTGTCTCCCTGCTTGTTCCAGAGGGTTTCTTTCCAGGAAAAGCCAGTGGTGCTTTTGGAGGTCTCTTCAGGAACGAGTTGTTCGGTGAAGACAGCACCGTGGGGTTCATGAGCAGCGATTCCTGGAATGGTTTTGGAGAGAAGCGGATGTTCCCTGCTGCCAGGGACCAGCAGCAAACCCAGAAGCGGCGACAGAAGTGAGTGGATTGGCCAGGGGAGGGCGGGAGGAGGGTGGCGTTGGTGGGGGATGGAGAGGACATGGCGGGAGTGTCCCATATCTTCAGAATGAAAACTAGGGTCTCAAACTAGTACAGGACTAAGTAGTGTTGCCTTCACACTCTCCCTGTGAGCCTCCTTCATTTACCACACCCATGATGTGCAGGGCTGACTCCTGGCTCTGTGCTCGGGAATCCCTCCCTGCCGGCCTTGGGGTGCCAGGGATTGACTGTCAGTCGGCGTCATGCAAGGGGAGGGTCCTGCGGACAAGGCTGGCAGCCCCCGCTGGCTTCTTACGTGGTTTCCACTCAGGACCCTTCTCGGTGAGAAGTCCCTTCTCCAACTCCCCCCATGCCACCACACCCTTTGTGGGGTTAAAACAGGGGCCTGCATGGAAGGCTTTCATGAATGATGAATTAAGAGGAATATTCAAAAAACCCTAGAGTCAGTCCAGAAATTATAGCACAGTGTTAGGATTTAATCTCCAGCACGGTTTTGGGCCTGCAACACTTCTGAGTGGTTCCCGAGTCCACAGCCAGGAGTAAACCCTGAGCACTGCAGCGTGTGGCCCCAAGTAGGAGGGGAAAAAAAAAATTAACCCCAAACCAAAAGACCAAAACAGAAAGATCACTCATGATCAAGGGTGGCGATTGCTTGTTGATATTCACTTTTTTCGATTTTGTGTTTGCGCATTGCCTAGCCCTGACTCTCGGTTCTGTGCTCAGGGATCTCCCCTGGAGGGGCTCGGGGGACCTGGTGGGGTACAGGGGACCGATCCTGGGCAGCCTCATGCACGGTCCCCGCCCTCCCGCTGTCCTGTGGTCCCGACAATCGGGCTGGTCTTGCTTTTCTGCTCAGTGTGTCTCATTTTTTGGCAGACGCCTCTTGCCGGACAGTCTTGGTGACGGTCACGGAGCTCCTGGAACCCCGAGGCGGACTCGAAGCCTCCCTGTGCCCCAGAGTCCTGTGGCTGCTGCTTCTGCGGAATGTTCTTTCCCCCAGAACCCCCCGGCACCTCCCCGTGGCTCTCCTCCAGGCGACCTGGCTCAGGGGGACATCTACTGCCCGGCTGCCCAGGGGACCCCCTCTCCCAACCCGGGTGCCCTCCGGCATGGCCCTCTGGGGGTCGCTGGCACCCAGAGCCCGACGTCCCACGAATGCAAAGTGTGCGGGGAGACCTTCCATGTCACCAACCTGCTAACGCCTGACGGCAGGGAGCACCACCAGGAGACGCCCTACGTGTGTGAGCTCTGCAGGAAAGACTTCCGCTTCCACATGTCCATGCAGCAGGCTCACGCCGAGACCCACGCTGCCCTGGAGAAGCCCTTTAAGTGCCCCGAGTGCCCCCAGAGGTTCAGGATCCCCTGTAAGCTGCGCGCCCATGCGCTGGTGCACGCGGGCGTCAGGCCTTTCGCCTGCCAGCAGTGTGGGAAAAGCTTCAGCAGTCGCTGGAACCTGCGCCAGCACAGCCGGACGCACACCGGGGAGAGGCCTTACGACTGCCCCGAGTGCGGGAAGGCGTTCCGGGATAGCGGCACCAGGACCAAGCACATGCGGGTCCACACGGGCGAGCGGCCCTACACGTGCCCGCAGTGCGGGAAGGGCTTCCGCTTCCTCAGCAAGCTCCAGGGCCACCTGATAACGCACACGACCCAGAGTCCCTTCCAGTGTCCCGAGTGCGGCAAGACCTACCGCGACCGCTCCTACTTCTCCGGCCACCTGCAGACGCACCAGGCGGCCCAGTCGCTCACCTGCGGGGAGTGCGGCCGGGTCTTCAGCCACCCCCAGATCTTCCGCCGGCACATCAGGGAGCATCTGGAAGAGCAGCCCTTCGTGTGCCACTGCGGGCAGCGGTTTGTCCGGGCGTCCACCCTGCACCGCCACGTCCGCCGGACCCACGCCGGGGAGCGGCCCTACAGCTGCCCCGAGTGCGGGAAGGCGTTCCGGCACAGCGGCACCAGGACCAAGCACATGCGGGTCCACACGGGCGAGCGGCCCTACAAGTGCCCGCAGTGCGGGAAATGTTTCCGCTTCTTGGACAAGCTCCAGGGCCACCTGATAACGCACACGACCCAGAGTCCCTTCCAGTGCCCCCAGTGCGGCAAGGCCTACCGCGACCGCTCCTACTTCTACGGCCACCTGCAGAGCCACCAGGGGCCCCAGACCCTCACCTGCGGGGAGTGTGGCCGGGTCTTCAGCCACCCCCAGAACTTCCGCCGGCACGTCAAAAAGCACCAAGAGGAGCAGCCGTTCGTGTGTCCCTGAGGGCAGCGGTGTGGCGGACGGGGCTGCAGCCCTGCACGGACTCGTCCGCCGGACCCACGGCCGGGGAGACGTGCTGAATCCATCTTCCGCCAACCTGCGAGGAAAGGAATCTCGGGGTTGCAAGAGCGTGTGGGGTGCAACCCCGTGCCTCGATTTCTTATCTCTCTAAAATTCAAGAGTAAAGCCATTTATTTTTTTTGGGGGGGGGGGGGTTGGTTACACCTGGCGATGCACAGGGGGCCATCCTGGCTCTGCACTCAGGAGTTACTCCGGGCGGTGCTCGGGGGACCCTATGGGATGCTGGGAATCGAACCTGGGTCGGCGGCGTGCAAGGCAAACGCCCTACCCGCTGTGCTATCTCTCCAGCCCCAAGGCATTTCTTTTTTAAATCCTGTTGAGGCTACCACTGATGATGCTCAGGAATGACTCGAGGTTCTGCTCCCAGGAATCAGTCCTGGAAGTTCTCGGGGGACCCTATGGGATGCCCGAATCGAACCTGGGTCTGCCACAGGCAAGGCCAGCGCCCTACGTGCTGTGCTATTGTGTGATACCCCCCCACCCACCCATACACACAAACACACACAACACACCGGATACCGTAATCTCGGCTGCTGCGAAGTCATTTGTGACTTGGGGGGGCCTCGGGAGAGAGCCTAGTGGGGAATATTCGAGTGACGATATATTTCTTGTATTTGTTTGTTTGAAGCCTACACCCGGTGGTGCTTCAGGCAACTTCCTGGCTATGCTCTCCGAGATCAGTCCTTCGGGCCTCGGGGGGCCCTGTGATATGTCCCTGGTTCCAACTGGGTCAGCTGTTGCATGGCCAGCGCCCTCCTCTTTACCAAGACTCCGGCTCTGAAATTCTATTTTATTTTAGCTGCCATGTGCTTTCCACGACTGTTTCAGCTAGGGTTTAAAAAGCATCAAGTATTTCTGAGATTTTTCTTTTTTTATTTTTATTTTATTGCTGGACACAGGCTGGTCCTCAGGGCTTCCTCCTGGTCCTGCAGTCAGGGATCACTCCAGTGGTGCTTGGGGACCCTACAGGGTGCTGCGTATCAAACCCAACTTGGCCGCATGCAAGCTGGGGTCTCTGCCCACTGTCTTATTGCTCTGGCGACACTGATGGAGGCAAAGCCGGCACTGACTACGGTGAAGACTCCCAAGGTGCGGCCAGCCGAAAAGCAGCCTTGAGAGGCCAGGACAATATTCTGCCCCGGGACCCGGACAAGGAGAAACGGGTCTGTCTGCAGGGGAGGCAAGACAGACAGGTGACGGGGATGGGTGTGATCTCTTCATATATCTGGGCTTCGAAGAAGCTCGTTTTTCTTCTGTCCCAATCTTGGTCAAGTCAGAGTGTTACATTAGGTTTGGTCACTAAGGTAAACATTGGTGGCTGGTCATTTGGACAATAATCATCCTCTTAGCTGCATAGACCTGTGCATCCGCTTACCCTATTTTGCTAATATTTAGAGAACTTAGTGACTCTACAATAAATATCCGTTCATATCGACTGTCAGTGTTTTCATTTCCCAGTGGAAGCATCGTGGTTTATCCTGGATATGGGAGAAGAGAATTTTCCTCTCTCCGGAGCAAGAGAGACCCCGTCATTGCGCTGTGTATGTTAAACACAGCGACGTTTCCGTATATGAGGAATGGAGTGGGTCGCTGTGCCATGGGGACACCTTGCTCTCCTGGCAAGTGTGGTAGGAATTTCTTCATTGGATTTCTTCAGAAGAGTGGGGAGGGTGCTGGTCTGGCAGGCGGCCACCACATTTCTGATCCCTGGCATTTCACAGGACCCACCCTGAGCAACTGGATGTGACCCAAAATCAAAAGGCAGAGTCCCCCAGCTTCTGTTCTCTGGGGGTCTCCACCAAAGAACTTGCTGCCTGTCCCATATTCCAGGTAGCCCTTGGAATTGTGATAAACCCCTTTTAGTTTTTCCTGGATGTTGGTTAAGTCAGGTGAGTGTTGAAGTGAAATGATGGCCACATTGAGTTACACATAGGTTTGTGCGGTGAAACCCTTTGATTGGGGTGGGGCAGCCTGACCTCAGTCATTGAGTGCTGGGGTTTCTTTTTTTTTGGGGGGGGGGGTTTCACACCCACTGTTTTCAGGGCTGACTCCTGCCTCGGTGCTCAGGGACCACTTGTGGTGGAATCGGGGGGCTTTATGGGATTCCAGGGATTAAGTTGGGGTCAGCCTTGTGCAGGGCAGCTTCCCTAACCACTCTACTATCATCCCAGCTCCCTGGGGTTTCTGAAAACAACTTTGAGGGTTTTTTTTTAAGGGGTTGCAGGGGACCCACACCCGGCGGTGCATAGGGGTCACTTCTGACAGTGGTTCAGGGAAGCCTCTGGTGCCGGAGATCTAGCTTAGAATGGCTTCCTGCAAGGCCAGTGCACCTCCACTGTTACATTAGGTTTGGTCACTAAGGTAAACATTGGTGGCTGGTCATTTGGACAATAATCTTTCTCTTAGCTGCATGGGAGACTGGCCTTCCTACCCAGTCCCTGCTCTTTCCTGATTCCTGTTGTGCCTAGTGAGGGGTGATCCTGGGTTTTTATTTTTATTATTATTATTATTATTTTGGCTTTTTGGGTCACACCCGGCGATGCACAGGGGTTCCTCCTGGCTCTGCACTCAGGAATCACTCCTGACGGTGCTCAGGGGACCATATGGGCTGCTGGGAATCGAACCTGGGTCAGCCGCGTGCAAGGCAAATGCCCTACCCGCTGTGTTATCACTCCAGCCCTGACCCTGGGTTTTTAAACTGCCCCATCTCACACCTGGGTCCTGATGCTGCTGTTTCTGTTTACTGTGGGGAGTCCAGACTCTGCTGGATCTGGGTTGCTCAGGTGAGATCTTCCAGCACTTTCTAATCTGCAGCCATTTGGTAAAAGCCAGAGGAACTCAGTGTAACAAACTTTTTGTTTTTGTTGTAGGTTACACCCAGCAGTGCTCAGGTATTCCTGGATTTGTGCTCACAGATCACTCCTGACTTTGCTCAGGGACTTTAGGGGGTGCTGGGGATTGAACCAGAGTCAGTTGCATGCAAGGCAAGTGCCCTATCAGCTGTGTTGTTGCTCCCCAGCCCCCATTTTTGTATTTTTCATTTCCAGGTCTTTAACACTTTAAATCTGATGTGTAGATGCATCTCAAAGTGGCAGTTCTTGTTTTCACTGCAACATTCACCTGAGTTAACCAACATCCATGGAACATTGAAAGAGGTTTATTACAGTTCCCAGGGCTATGAGGAATGAGGTGTCAGGCAGCAATGTTCAACGTTGTTATCAGCAACGAAGGGGTCTCTCTAGTGCCCGAGGGAGAGAGATTCTCTTCTTCCATATCCGGAGCGGGTACCACTACCTCTCGGGCATCACTGATAAATTCATGTTTACCAAGTTGGTTTAAGGTGAAGAGTGTGCTACCGTATTCTCTGCAAGCAATCCTCTGCTGCCATTTATTTAAAATTCAGAACCGGAGGGACTGGAGTGATAGCACAGCGGGTAGGGCGTTTTCCTTGCAAGCGGCCGACCCGGGTTCGATTCCCAGCATCCCATAGGGTCCCCTGAGCACTGTCAGGGATAATTCCTGAGTGCAGAGCCAGGAGTAAAGCCTGAGCATCGCCGGGTGTGACCCAAAAATGAAAAAAAAAAATTCAGAACTGGTGAATAGTGAGTTGGGTTGGGGGTGTGCTTGCCCTGCACGCAGTGAACTTGGGTTCAATGCATAGAATCCTTTATAGTTACCCTTGGTCACTGCCCGGTGTGACCGTCTCTCCCCCAGAGAATTCTGAGAAGTGTCCTAGATTCCCACTGGGCCCCGCTCCCAACCCTGAAAACAATGTCTGAGGCAGCTGTAATTCTTCACGTTCTGAATTGCACCCGGAGACCAGGAGCCGGAGGGATTTTCTCCCTAAGGGGCTGGGCATCTAGATTCTTCCAGAGCCACTGACTGAGCAGAAACTCTTTGGTTTAACTTTGGTTTTGTGGTCCCCAACCTGGTTTTGCGCTCAGGGATCTGTCACTCCTGGATTGCATCTCGTGGGGAGGGTGCCGGGGCTGGAACTGAGGTCAGCCGTGTGCAAGGCAAAGGCCGCCTTGGCGTGCTGTGGGATCTCACCAGTCTCAGGAGAGCCTGTTTGGATGCTTTCCAGGGACTTGTGCTACCTGAGGTCAGAAAGGACTTGGAAGGACTTGAGCCAGTGGGAGCGGGAGGGTGGAGCGCCCAGTCATCTAGGATGCGTCTGATTGGCCCTTTTCATCTCACCTGCCCTCACCGTCGTCCAATCAGAGGTAAAGGATGGGAGGCTGGGGGCGGGGAGATAACCCCGGGGCGGAAGGATGCTCCAGCCCTGAGCCTGCTCTTGGCTCCCTGAGCCCTGAGCTCTGCCCAACGTGGCCGCTGGACGGGAAGGGCCGTCAGCTCCTGGGCAGAGGCGCTAAGCCAGACAGATTCCAGGTCAGGAAGCGCTGCAGGGAGCGCGAGGACAGGCCAGGAGTTCGCCCAGGTGGCCAGAAAGGAGTCATCGGGGACCCAGGTGAGGGTGGAGGCTGGGAGCAGGGGGAGGGGAAGGGGGAGGGTTGAGTGACGTCATACCCGAGGCATCAGGACCTGACAACAGAACTGTTTAATAAACTTTCTTTTTTCTTTCTTTTTTTTTGGGGGGGGGGGGGTCACATCCAGGGATGCTCAGTGGTTTCTCCTGGCTCTGCACACAGGAATGACTCCTGGCGGTGCTTGGGGTACCATGAGGATTGAACCTGGCTGCGGCACTTGCAAGGCGCCCTACCTGCTGTCCTATTGCTCCGACCCCTAAATGAACTATTTATTTATTTATTTATTTGTCTTGGGTCACTCCCAGCAATGCTCAGAGCTTCTCCCTGATTCTGTAATCCGGGATCATTCCTGGCAGGACAGTGGAGACCCACTGGGGTGCTGGGGATGGAAGCCGGGCCATTTTTTCTGCAAGACAATCACCTTAACCTTAACCC